TCCCTCCTCGCCCCGGCCGCGTCCCCACCACGAGCTGGGAAATCGGGGATCCCGGAGCCCCGGGGTGGGAGAGATTTTCCAGGCGGGACCAGGGCGTGCAGGATGCTTGTCGTCAAAGGGGAGCGTGCCTTTCCCCGTTCCCTGCAATGCAAATCCCCTTGGGCTGAAAATCCTGCGATTCAACGAATACCCGATGAGGTTCAGGAGGAAAAATCCTCCCTTCCTGCAGAAATGCACCCGGATTTGCATGTTCGCGGGAAAAAAAAGCTAGGGGTGAATAGGTTCGAAGCTGAAACTGGTTCCCCAAACCTCTCCCACGAGCGTCTCCAATAAAAGGGATAATTACAGAGTTGGCTTTTATTGTCATGACTTCAGCTGCAGCTTGTGGTTTGGGGGAAAGCTTTACGGCTTTCTATTTTTTTTTTAACGGCGGGGTAAATGGGGATCCTCGTTTGGAAGGCATCCTCAGACACCTCTGCTCATCAAAATATAAATTAAAAGCGGTTAAGCAATTAAGTCGTATTTTTTTTTTTAAACAATACGAGCTCGCTAATGGGTTGGGGTGGGAGCAGCTTCGCCAAGTGCCGCGTGCTGCGGAGGGGGCTGGCGGCTGGAGACCCTGCGAGGATGATCGGGAAACAGCCCGGCGATGCCCGGAAAGCTTCCAGCCTAGGAGGGATCGGGATCTGCCGTCACCGACGCGGGGCAGAGCTCCTCAGGTCGGTAATGGCACCTCGACCCCCTTGAGATTCGGCGAAGGGTGTGCGCAACATGGAAATACCGAGATATTTTGGTCTCCGCCAACCCCTCCGTATCCCTCCAGGCTCAATACACTGGTCAGAGGGATCTAAAATGACTTTAAAACCTCCTTAACGGTGTTTCTAAGTCTTCTTTATTGACATAAACCTAATTTTATAACCTCGCCAAGGCTCTCTGGTTGTGAAACATTTTTGACCGACCCAAGTCAAACCTCCGCCGAGCAGGAGGTTGAACCGGAGTGCATCTGAGGGTGTGATTGGGAAACCACGTTTTTGTTGGAATTCAGTGAACCAAGCACCTGCCACCCGGCTCAAAATGAGTGATTTAGCTAAAACAAGGGTCTCCCTCGAGGGTGTAATACGTCAAGGAACTCGTAGGGCTTTGCCATCGCCATGGGAGGCTCAGAAAGGCCCGCGATGAGTTGACAGCTGTCGCTAAGGGAATTTGATTTGGAGTTGTGCTTCCAACACCAACAATAGCTTTGTTTTTCTTAGCTCTCGAGGGAGTGTTTTAAGGCAGGTCATGGTGGTGGCAAATAGAGGAGGGCATCCTTCCAAGCCCTAAAACAATGAATAGAATACCAAAAAAAAAATAAATCTCTCTCCACTCCCCTGACACCTGGCCAACTCCCTGCGCGCATAAAAAGGGGCACTAAAGCCACGGCATCCACAGGACTCGGCTCCTCTTGCCTCCGGACCTCCTCCTGTGCACCGCACCACCCGGCTCTTCTCTCTCTACGAGTTGACCGTTGGGGACCTGTCACCATGTCTCGCCAATCCTACGGTCTCGGCAAGGGGTTCAGCTCCAGCTCCGTTTGCTTCGGAGGGAGGAACAAGGTCGCGTTCAGCTCTATGTCCCGTGCAGGGTGCGGGGGACCTGGCAATGCCGGTGGCTTCAGCAGCAGGAGCCTCTATTGCTTGGGAGGGAGTAAAAGCACCTCGCTGGGAGGATTCGGTGGAGGCGGTGGTGTCTGCAGAGGTTTTGGGGCTGGTGGTCAAGGAGGTTTTGGCTACGGCTACGGTGCTGGGGTAGGATTCGGTGGCGGCTACGGTGGTGGGGCCGGAGGCCTCGGTGGTGGTTTTGGTGGCTTTGGTGGAGGATTCGACGGCTTTCCCCCTTGCCCACCCGGCGGCATCAGGGAAGTGACCATCAACCAGAGCCTGTTGGCCCCGCTCAACCTGGAAATTGACCCCGAGATCCAGAAGGTGCGAACACAGGAGCGGGAGGAGATAAAGAAACTCAACGACAAATTCGCTTCCTTCATTGACAAGGTGAGAGCGGCTTCAACCCAGGGCTGGGAGGTGGAGGTCTGAGCTCACCAGGGCTCGTGCTGGTTGCAATTACCGGGAGATACCCACCCGATAACCCCCAGGGAGCCAGGCGCTGCCCAGATCACCCCAAAGAACCCCCTCAGACAGAGATGGTGGCTGGAAAAGTGACTTTCCCAAGGTTATGGAGAAACTCAAGAATAGGATCCTTGGTTCTTAAGACCACGATGCTGGTGCTGAGCTGTGGGACCGCGTACCGAGATGCAGAGCACCCTCAGAGGAGTCTCTGCTGAAGGACTCTGTCCATCCGTGGGCAGAAGGACCTTGGGTGTTTTTTTAAGGAGAAGGTGCCAAAGCTGTGAAGTTCACCGTTTCTCCTGTTTCGAGACGGTGAGATTGGAGAGGGAAGGTGACCCACCTTTGCCCACTCATCCTAGACCCCTGGTCCCACCGCTCCGGTGGGAGCCCAGAGTTATTGCTCACTGGAGATGAGAACGGGCAGGAAGGTTAAACTCCTTAAATGGGAAAAAATTATGGAAAACGTGGCGGGGCGAAAAAATCAATAAAAAGATGCTTTTGGGAATAGTCCGACTCTTTTTCTATCCACCCCTGCCATCATTTAGGTCCGGTTCCTAGAGCAGCAGAACCGAGTCCTGGAGACCAAGTGGAAACTGCTGCAGGAGCAGGGTAGTCCAAGGACGGGGGGCAGGAACCTCGACTCCTTTTTTGAAACCTACATCAGCGGGCTGAGGAAGCAGCTGGACTGCCTCTCAAGCGAGAAGAGCCAGCTGCAGTCAGAGCTGAAGAGCTTCCAAGACATGGTGGAAGACTTCAAGACCAAGTACGTTGTTCTCGGTGTAGTCGTGGTTGGTGGTGAAAAAATAGAGATTAAAAACTTTGAACAGTCAGAAAATGGAGAGGAGCGTAAGAATCGGCAATGTTTCACTGGTTTCAACAATTAGAAAATGTAAAAGGTTTTGGGGAAGTTTTCATCAGCCGAGTTTTGACAACAGGCGGTGATTTTTCAAGCTATTTCTCAATACGTATTGTTGTCTGATTTACGCTTCTCGCTAAGGCAGGATCCTCTCCTGTTTGTCTTCCTCACTTAAGAATCCATGACATTATGATTTAATGAACTAATTAGATCAGTTGCTAAATCCTATGATAATTTCCTCAAGGATTTCCTCATGGATTCCTTCCCATAATATCCTTCATCATTTGAAGCTTAAAGCTTTCTTTGGAAGGATGATGTGGAGTTCAAAAAAAAAAAAAAGATTATTTTCCTGCTATTAATTATTAGATTAATTTGTCCATTCGGAAAAGCAAGAACAGAGCCTGGAGAATGCTTGCACTGGAGTTACAAAAAATGGTGGGAAAGCAAGTCTGGGACTTGTCGGGATCAACCAGATCCCTTGTTCTACCGAGGCTGCAGGTTGAAAACTGATGTCGTTTTGGAGATCATCTCCACCACTCCACGCTCTGCAGCAATTACCTGCCCCAACGAGCCGTCGGAACTGGCCCACGTTGAGGACTTGAAGGTCCTTGGGTCTTGTAGAAGGAGTTGGAGCGGTCACAGCCCCCAAGACTTGATTTAGGTAGAGACAGGATTCCTCTTTGCAGGCTTTCTTCAGCAAGGCGTTGGAGGTGGCAGGAGCCAGGGCTCGTCTAGAAAAGCAAAGTGCCGTTGCTTGTCCATAAATCTCGCTCGTGGCAGCTCTATTTTTGCCGCATTCATTAGTCTGAGGCCAACAACGTCTGGTTGCCAGCGGCAGCCAGCGCCAAAATAAGCAGATAGATTCAATCTCCCTCGTTATAATCAACAGGTACGAAGAGGAAATAAACAAAAGGACAACCTCGGAGAACGATTTTGTGCTCCTAAAAAAGGTAAAGTCCTTTTATTTTTTTTAACATCTTGGTTCAGAGGATGTCTTGTGTCCATCAGCACCGGTTCGTTAGCGTCAGACGTTAACGGGG